CACACATCACAAAGCCGGATATATTATATCATACATACACATACGATACATACACATACGTACCTCCCTCTATCTCTATCATACATACACATACGTGAGTAGATATAATAGCCACGTGCTGCGTAAATGCTTGCGTTCGTTTACAGTTAGGATTAAACTCATTCGAGTTCATATAACATTCATAGAGTATTAGCATAACATTGCTACATATTTGTAGTAGGAATTTCAAAGCCGCACGCTGCGGCAATGCAGACATGGGGACCGCATTTGCATGACCACAGGGGGCGCCCCGCGTGAGCGCCGGCACAGTGTCACCACAGGGGGCGCCCCGCGTGAGCGCCGGCACAGTGTCACCACAGGGGGCGCCCCGCGTGAGCGCCGGCACAGTGTCACCACAGGGGGCGCCCCGAGCGTGCGCCGGCACGGTGCGACCACAGAGGGCGCCCCGAGCGTGCACCGGCATGGGGCAACCACAGGGGGCGTCCCGAGCGTGCACCAGCACGGGGCCACCACAGAGGGCGCCCCGACTGAGTGCCAGCACGGTGCCACCACAGGGGGGCGCCGGGTGTTCTCGCTCACCGGATGAGTTTCTTCTCGGGATCGAGCAGATTCAGTAGCTTGTCGGCGTAGACCTTCTTCGATGCGGTGAAGAGGACGACCTCGTAGAGGGTGCTGACGCGCTCGAGAAACTCACGCAGGAACGGACGCGTGCGAACGTAGACCTGGGCGAGAGGAGAGAGAGATACGTGTTAGCGAGAGAGAAAGAGAGATGGATGGATGGATGGGGATGGAGGAGATGGAGAGAGAGAGTGAGAGAAAAGAGAGAGAGAGAGAGAGAGTGAGAGAGAGAGAGAGAGAGACAGAGAGACAGAGACAGAGACAGAGACAGAGACAGAGAGAGAAAGAGAAAGAGAGAGAAAGAGAGAGAATGTTATAGTAAATAAAAAGACAATGGCAATGACGATGGCAAACAAAAAGACACGGCCTCTTCTTATTTCTAACAGAAACGCGAGAAACATCCAGATCGAACTACAAACACACAAATCTACAATAAAATGCAAATCAATATAGTACATAATAGCAATAAGCACATAAGACGGTGTGGTCATACCTGGTAGGTGACATCTTGAAACAGGACCGGGAATGTCAGGTCAGCATCCTCTAGTTCGTTTAGGCTACAGTGAACCAAAGTCTCATCCTGAAGAACAAGCCACACAAATAACGTCAGCATCTCGCGCTGTCACCAGCTAATCAAGATTCGATTTCATAGCAAACGCAACCGATTAGTTTTGATGGCGGACCATTATGCCAAGATTGGTTTGGGCAGCTCCATTACTCACGATGAACATATCCCTGATGTCCCCCCGTCAATATTACTGATTGTGGCGACTAACTTGCTGACAGATAGTTTCCGAGGTGTCTCACAAGGTGGCAGCACACACTATTGCCCAGAATATTGCTGTGCTATATCCTGCCCTGATCAAAGGTTGCAGCTATAAACCTTGCGCACAGAAAATAGTATGCGCGTACACACATTTAAGGTATTGCCAACTTCTTTTTCATTGTACCTTTCTTACTGATACGGATACTTCAACAGTAATTCATATTATATCACACAGCAATACAGTATATTACACTGTAGAAGACTTATCAAATAATGAAAGAGTGAGAGAGTGAGAAAGAGGGTAAGGGTAAGAATGAGAGAGGGGGGAACACGGCGTACAATGAGGGTAGACTGACACACAGCAACGCTGGTTAGCACCCTTGCTCAGCATCACTGTAATCGATACCTGGCTGTGAGGAGGAGGGGGGGGGGACCTACTGCACGCTACTCGTAAATTCTAAGCTAATCACACTAAGCAGGTTAGACTTGCTGAAAATTTAATGACATAGCCGTGCGTGCGTGCGTTGGTGAGCAACATGGACGTTGGTGCAACACAGACTGCTGCTGCTGCTGCTGCTGCTGCTACTACTACTACTGCTGCTACTGCTGTTGCTGCTACTGCTGCTGCTGCCATTGCTACTGCTGCTACTGCTGCTGCTGCTGCTGCTGCCATTGCTACTGCTGCTGCTGCTGCTGCTGCTGCTGCTGCAGAAGCAGAGCTCATTAATCACACTCGCTTCAGAGTCTGCTGCTGTAGCTGGAACAGCATGACTCACCACCTATACGCGTAGCGCCACCTCTAGGCAGACTGTAGAGTAAACGTAGTGCAGTGTATATATCCGCACGCAGGGATGTACATGTGTACGTTTGTGTGTATGAACGCGCGCGCGTTTGTGTGTGCGTGCGTGCGTATGTACAGTGACTCACGTACATATATTGCTCCTCTTCAACGGTCTACACATTTTGAACGAATAATCATTATTGAGTTTGTGTAAACGGGAGATAACACACACGCACGCACGGCACACACGTACGCATGCCATACACAAGCATACATGCGCCGCTCACACGCACGCACACACTCACCCATGTACAAACACATACAAATACACGATATATTACTAATCCACGGCGAATAGACGTTTTGCGGCTAGAATACTGTAACGAATTCTCAAGAATCTTGTTTATTCTCCACAAGTCACTTCCTGTTGCGTTTGATAGGCACACAGCACATCTTCACATTCTCAGCACCCATATGACAGATTCACGTCAAGGCATTCCTTCAATTCCTTCCTCATTCCTATTCAGGCAGGCAGTTTACTTATTTACCATATGACAGCCATGCCATTGCATATGCTTTTTCTTGATGTAAATTAGCCCAAAAAATTACTAAAGACACATACTTAAATACAACACAAATTGCGTGGGTTGGTAAGTGGTTGGGGCCCATGATCACAGGCAGTGGCACGTTGGTGGGTGGGTGGCTGATATGGTAACAAGAGCTCACTATAACCATTACATCATCAATGATCTATCGCCATTACAGCACTGAACAACCAACACACAAACTGAATCCTTCGTGTCAGCTGCCTTTGGTTTTTCTCTGCCATTTACCTAATGCCTCTTTAACCGTGCACCTGCCCCTTCCCCTTCACGACGCATAACGGAAGCGAACATTCAGGTTTACACAAACACCACGCTAGCAATCAGTTGAGCAACAGCCAACACGCACTGCTGAGGAGCCATCACTATTGTCAAAATGCACGGGGAGGGAATGGAGGGTGTCAAAATTGAACAGAATCTGCCATTCATCCTCCGGAAGTGACAGCCAAAATCCACTATCGCATAGAAGTTTTAGGTTTCAGGGTGAAATGAATAGTAAGTAATAACAACCATTTACATCACCAGCTTTGGCGCACTGGAGAGATGCGTTAGCAAAACTAGAAAGCGTGACAGCAAAACACTGAGTGTATATGCAATGTAAACTGTTTTTCCCACAACCTTACAACCAGAACACAGTACACAGTTGCTCACACTCTTCCAGCAAAAGATACCGTTATCCTAGGAAAGCTAAAACATGCCAACTTCTACCCCCCCAGGAAAAAATAATGGCAACGTGCCAAGGTGACTGTGTCCTCAGCTGGGATGGCGCTGCTGACAATGTCCAAGTTATTGCCTGCCACGCGTGTACACCGTGAATTACACTTCGTCTGCTCGTACGCGATCACACTAATACGGCTCCGGACACGGGTGCTCGACTCCTACAACAGCGACACCTACCAGGTCAATGACGAGGGAAAACTCCGGGCTACTCCTGGTTCGGAGAGGAAGTGCCGGGTGCCTCCGCCGCATCTCTTCTGTCAGCGGTGGCAGGTGCTTGATGAAATAGTATCTGGAGGAACGCCGACAAACACCGCGATTAGCGACCGAACAAAATACGGTTTGCTGAGGGACGTCGTGGGATTCCCACACCGGCGGCAAAATATTTCTCGAAGAATTTCGATGAGGCAGACACATTTTTCGTGACTCGTACCTTCCCATCAACATGGAACAAACTCTTCTGCTCTTATGGAACAACTGGTCTGCAGCAGCATGAGCTATAATTTCTCAGACAGTAGACACAGACATAACTAGACAGAGGGCACTCACGGAGAGTGCATACCTCCGCCAGAAACATACGCCATACGCCCCATGTAACATGTATGTGTTACGGCTGTTGCTGACTGACTGGCCTGCTGCTGGCTGGCTGACTGGCTGGCGCGCTCACTCAACGCGCTAATATCGATCGCGCGAACACACTAACACTGACTGGCCTGCTGCTGGCTACACGAACACACGAACGCACGAGACCAATCACATAACCTCCGCCCTCCAACTCCGTTGAGCGGAGGTAACTATATGTGCTGTCGAAATCACGTTCTATCTTCTTAATACACCTTCAAGTACATTAAGCTTCTTCTTATCAGTAGCGAGTGAAATGAGGATGCTATAGACATGCGCTTATCTTCTATCTAGACTGTTCGGGGAACAAACGTAATAACAACCCATTTTACACGACCTTCCAGCAGGGTATTAGCCAGGAATGAGTATTGTGGGAGTGCAGAAAAAATATTTGGGAGTGCAATTTTACAAATGTACATGGCTTTAGATCAACATTTTAAGCCGTGCAGTTTCAAAACTGACCGTGCAAATCACGGCTGCACGGCTCGCTGGCTAATGTGTTCCCTTCCAGCACGATATCCCACGTTCCGCGATTTTCCGACTCTCCCGGAAAACTCCCGCCGTGAGATTACGGAACTCTGCTGTACTCACGGGTCAAACACGTCCCACTCTTCCTCGTAGGTACCCGCCTCCGTCGCTGGCTCTCCCTCGTACTCATAGCAGCCGCTGTAGCTGTACGTCTCATAGACGGGCGACACGACCTCGCGGCACGCTGGCACAGACTCGCCGACCGCCGACGTACAGGTGGCGCCCTCGCCGCCGTTCGGCAGCGCCTGAGCAGGCATCTCGCCGTCGGTGCCGTCAGTTCCGTCGCGAGCGTTGAAAGCTGTGTGCGCATGCAAAACACGTGGTTAGAGTGTTACAATGCAAGCAAATGAAACATTCGTCATGCACCAAGCATCGCAAGTAATGCAGGCAAACATGCACACACGGGCACACACGGGCACGCACGCGCGCACCGTGGACATACGACACGTGCACAGGCACGCGCGCACCGTGGACATACGACACGTGCACAGGCGTGCACGCACGCGCGCACCGTGGACATACGACACGTGCACAGGCGTGGACGCACGCGCGCACCGTGGACATACGACACGTGTATACACGGGCACGCACATCACAGGTTCCTGACTCAGTAGGAGCTACGCAGCGCGCCATCTCGGTTATTAATCATGTCTAAAGGTGTGACGAAGAAGACCTACTAGTACTAACGGCGTTCCTGTACGGTTACACAACACTGCACGTCTTTAGCCGTCGCACACACACAGCTAAATCTCATACTGGACGCACATCCGCGGAAAGATAGCACGGAATTCATACATTCCCCTTCCATTTGCCGCATAGAGACGCGTTTTCCCCATATCCTTCTCTCATCCTTCCGCCTCCTCCCCCTCCTCCTGCTCCTCCTCTCATAGTGACGCCTAGACACAATGACGTGTGCAACTATGCTCAGTGTAGGTTCGATCCAATACTTCCCAGTAGAGCCACCAACGTCAGCAAGATTCACACTGGGGGAGACAGTGGGAGACAGTGGGAGACAGGGGGAGACAGGGAGACAGTGGGAGACAGGGAGACAGGGAGAGACAGGGAGACTACACTGGGGGAGACAGGGAGACAGTGGGAGACAGGGAGACAGGGAGAGACAGGGAGACTACACTGGGGGAGACAGGGAGACAGTGGGAGACAGGGAGACAGGGAGAGACAGGGAGACTACACTGGGGGAGACAGGGAGACAGTGGGAGACAGGGAG